ACTGCCAATCCCCTGACAGTTTTTTACCGGGCTGACCAAGCCGTCGTACCGGGCTGGGTAATAAGAGAAAAGAAAGAGGGGAGAGGGAGGGAAAGAGTAAGAAGAGGAAAAGAAAATGAAAGAAAAAAAGAAGAGAAAAATAAAGACAAGAATAAAAAGGAAGATATCATAATGACCAGACTCACAACACCCTGCAACCCTTCTCCACTTCAAAAACTGTCATAACTCCTTTGATCTATGCTGCCCGATGGCGTAACCACTGGGAGACAAGGGGAAAATATCTATCTTTCAAAAATCTTCACCACCCCTTTATGATTGCCCTTTCATCCCCTGAAAGTGCCTAAAAACCTCAAATTTCTTGTTAACATGGCCCAATTTCTTCTAAAAATTGCACATTTTAGGGAGTTTTGATCAATTCCAACGAAATTAGAATTAAAAACACCGGGGGACAAGGGGAAAATATCCATCTTTGGAAAATCTTTCCACACCCCTTGACAAATGCATCCTCTGAAAGTGCCTAAAATTCTCAAATTCTTTGCGCGCATTTCTTGTTACGGTAGGCCAATTTTCTCTATAAATTGCACATTTTGGGAGTTTTCATCAATTCCGACGAAATTAAAATTAAAAACACAAAAATAATTTGCGCGCTTGACCCCTGTTACGCGCCTGGTATTAGCACCAATGTGTACCCTTGTGCGGACAGGGGATGTGCCCCCCCCCCCACTTCTGAAGCTGGAAACCTTGTTTTTTCAAAATAAATTGATGCAATTTGCTATTATAGGCCTAATCAATAAATTCCTCATCAACCGATATAACCTTAAACATTTTTGGAATTGACATAACATTACTGATGTCGTACACACCCTTCAGTGTGAAATGTGGCTCTCTTTGCAAGCACATCTAACATCTAAGGGAAGAAGAGCTTAGATTGGTACCAGATAAAATAATTTTAGATAAAACATTAATACATTATGCTAATTTTCATCTTTGTAAGCGCATAAGACAGTGCAAATTATTTCTGTGACAGTCTTTTGAAGTGTGTAAAGCTCCATTTTATCCCATACATAGTCAAAATATTGGGGGGGGGGATGATACAATGGACCATCCCCCCTTGTCAAATATTGGGGGGGGGGGATATATCCCCCATCCCCCCGGGATCTACGCCTATGCTAGGCACCGTGCATTGGAGTAAAACGGATGGAACTAAAAATGCACGGATGAAAGTAAGAATGTCCCGGTGGAACTAAATTTCAATAAAGTGACGAATTGGAGTAAATAGGCAGTGTCACGTGATACCAAATCCACCAATCAATTGACAAGGATCTAATTAGGTGTGTTATAAATGGTACTAAGTATCGCTATATTATCATTTACTTTATGCTACGGAAAGTATAACATATTTTAACTAATAAACTTAAATGTTTATAATGTTAATAATAATATAAACTGAATTGGTGTAAACACTGCTTATCATTGAGCCCTCCAAAAAACCGCAAAAAATATATCAAAGAAACAAACAACCGTGTTTAAAATGGAAACTAACATAACTTAGACCTACATACAAGTCTAAAACAGACAGTTAGTGTGAAATATCTTACGTTGTGTAAGATGCCTGGGTCCTTTGACCATAAAGGTAGTACCTTCTCCAAACACCATCGGCTCGTTGTGTAATGGTTTTACGATATTTGTCAACAAGATCAGCTGGATTATTATCGGCGTCCCACACATCGATTTTAAGATAGAATGCACCCTGAAACAGTAATTAATGTCATACATTTTAAATTTTAGTCGTAGCTATTTAATGCATATGATGAGTAATTTCTAAGCCCGATATATCAATCGTTGTCCTATGAATTTGAAAATAGAAATCATTCATCCTGGAGACGAAGACAGAGTCGAAGTTTATGAATAATCATTCCATTCTGTAATTGCTGAGTTACTTGCTTTTGGAACCTTACACAGCTATGTTGTGGTCTCTTGTTAGACGTGAAGGAAAAAAATAAGAAATGAATAAAATATAATTAAATAAACATGTAGCGACATATATTTTAATAATATGTCTGTATAAAACCTCTTTGGTATACCAATACAACACACAAAGCACAAGACAAAGAGACAGGGGAGGATACAATATAATAATAATAATAATAATAATAATAATAATAATAATAATAATAATAATAATAATAATAATAATAATAATAATAATAATAATAATAATGGTGATGTTGATGATGATGATAATGATGATGATGATGATGATGATAATAATAATAATAATAATAATAATAATAATAATAATAATAATAATAATAATAATAATAATAATAATAATAATAATAATAATAATTCTTAGCGCACTCCGCAAAGAGCCTCAATGCGCTCCACACCACAAAACAAACAGGCTATAACACATAGTAGCCAAAGCCAGCAATACCAGATACATACCTGATATACTGATGCCGTTGTTCTAACCGGGTTGGATGCAGTACCAACATAAGAATAGAAGTAGATCGTCTCGGCGTCACCACAATCTCTGGCGTACAAAGAACCATACTCGCACCGATCGATAGAACTTGATCCGCCGTTACTGTAAATACAGTACGGTATATGATATAATGTAAACGGTTTCTATATAATTCTACAGAAAATTGACCAAAGATTTTTTTTTCTCTATATAAAACCTATCCATTTTCTATAGAGAAGGTTCTATAGAAATAGAAAGTTATTTAGAAAAAGAAAAACTTCTGGATAACTTCCATAAAATTTCTTACGGTACTTGTTTAATTGTATATCTCTGCAAATTTTTTAAATATTGTTTCTTTAGAATTTTTATATTTCTTTTAGAAAAATCCTATAGAATTCTCGTACAATTCTTATATATTTCCTATGTAATTTTAAAAATATTTTTGATAAAATTGTTTAGAAATTGTACAGCTAAGTGTAGAGAAACCTAAAATGCTTACCGGTACCCTGTAAATTTGATAGAATTATAGAAAAAAGTTTCTATACAAAATTTAATTTGAATTTCCTTATAAATTTATATAAAAAAAGCCCCTATAGAATAATATCTAATACAATTCTATACATTTTCTATACAATATTTTGTTATGATCTTGATCAATATTATATAGGCATTATTAAATTTCTATAGAATTCTTCGTAATTGGGGATTTCTATACACATTCTATATAAGTTTTAAAGAACATGGAAAATATGTAAATATTATACTGTATTAAATTTTAGAAATATATAAAGTCATTGTAACAAATTCTTATTGAATCCTAACATCTTCTGGAATTCTATTAAAATTATCTACCTGAACTTTATCACAATCAGCAGTGACACCAGAAATTTGCCAACAAGGGGTCCAAACCGAGGGCCGACTACTGTTTCGGTCGATAGCCCAGAATAAAAAATAAACCTCTGGTAGGTAGTGAAGTGTGTGTGTG